AGGCAACACTATGGGCCCCACCACAACTACAACACTTCGGCTGTACCCCCTCTCCACACTTTCCATACTCATGCCCCCCACCACACCGAGCACATGTCTTCTTTTCCTTACAGTTTAGTGCTGTATGCCCAAATCGCTGACAGTTGAAGCATCTCAATGGTTTAGGGATGTAGGCCCTCACCGGGTAGCTCAAAAACCCCACAAAAACTTTCCTTGGCAAAATTGTTTCAGAGAACTCGACCAGAATTGTTTCACAGCCCACTTTAGCTCCTTCCTTTGTGGCTTTGAATCTAGTTACGTTAATAACTGTGCCCCCTCTGATGTTTCTTTTTAGGTCATCTGTCTTGACACTGACTGGAACCCCAGTTATCACTCCTTTACTTCCGCCTACTGCCTGTGCCCCCCCTTGACTTGTGCTAACCACTTTAAACTTTCCCAGCTCTCTCATGCTCAATGCTTTATTAAGTTGTTCTTCATTTGCACAATGTATAATTAAGTTGCCATCTGCCAATACTTTTGCTGAACGGATGTCACCCAACTTTTTTCCTAAGTCATCAGAAAGTGCAAACGGACTTGCTTTCTTCACATTAGCTTGAGTCTTTTCACTAAATCTCAATACCGCAATAAATCTATTTATCTGCGGCTCCTCTCTTGATACAGACTGACTCATATCACTGCCACTATCATTTCTAACCCTTTTCCCTCGACGCACCTTTTGCCCACACTGCAACTCGCTGCTACCGAGCTCTTCCTCCTCCGCTTCTAAATCTACATCATTGCCTGCCCAACTGCCTACCTCTGACCCACTCACAGACAGATCCCTCTCCGGGAATAGAACAGGCGGTGGACGGTCGGGGTTCAAACCTCCCGCGTATTTGCCTCTTCCTCTACCAGCCGATGACGACGCCATTCCGTCTGGCAATCGAGCGCCCAGTCCTGAGCTCACTTCCTCGGTCTGAGGCCTACAAAACGGCTGTCTGAGACACGCCCTCTTCAACAGGTACATAATACATTTACTAAAAGTGGCATTAAAAGGGACAAAGTAATCTGCTTTGTCACACGCTCTAAAAAGTAAAAAACGTGTCCCATCATGTCAATAAGAATTGATAACCATACATGTCAATTCTTATTGTTTTACATTGAAATGTTATTTGGCTGTAATCTCTCACAATTATGCTAAAAAGCCCAGTATCCACCAGCCCTAATTGGCTCTACTCTACTTGGATTTATTCTACAGGCCCTGTTTAAAAGGTATCAGGTTTTTTTTTAGAAGTGCCTTGGCCCTGCTTTTAACCACCAGGAGGAGTAGAGCCGAGTAGAATAGAGTAAGGCAAAGTAAGGCTGGTGGAAACAGGGCTTGGATTTATGAAGTATGAGACTAAAGGTCTCCATAGCTGTTAGAAACTGTTTCAACTTTTATTTCCATGGGATCAGATATGTTGCATTCATTTGCTTTATTTCTTTATTAGGTGAAATGCTCTTTTTCAAACATAATATTTTGTCTGTTGTATTGGTCTTTGAAGCTAAGCAGTGTGTGGCCTGGTTTGCACTTTGATGGGACTGTCACAGTACGGCTGTGAGTTAAACAGTTCTTGTGTCCTAGGGCAAGACATTTCACCCAAATTGCCTAGTATGACTGCATTGTGTTCGTGTGAAGGATTGGAGGTGGTTGGAGGGGCAGATTGCACAGATTGGCTGTCTACCCCAGGGCAGCTGTGGTTACTGCAGCAGTCTATTACCACTGTGTAGGGAGTGAATGAAAAATATATTTATCTTAAGCTGTACTCTTGTCTGTCTTTGTGATGTATAAACACAAACACTAATTGAAAGCCTCTTGATTGTTAGCTATTATTTGAGACAGAAAATGAGAGATTTGTCACGTCAAACTATATGTTTAACGCCACACTTTGATATGTACACATAATAATATAGGGTGAAAGTGCTTGCATTTTATTGCTTGGAACCCACTGCGTGAATAGCTTGTCTGTATATGTTCAGTAGTGTCTGTTTATATTTTGTTGAACTCTATTCAAGATGTTTAGTTTTTTGAGAAACATGCTTTGTGAGATTTATTATTATTGCCCCTTTCAAAATGTTGTGTAATGAATAGAGAAGGGGACAGGAGTTTGGTAGTTTAGTTTGAGAATGTTGAGATTTCACTTCCGCCGAGATCTTCAGCTCACTGGATTGGAGAGACACGGCATGTACCGTATACACAATATTACTTTGAAATTTTACTTATTTTATTTTTATTTTGTTTGCATTTCTACACACATTCTTTGTGTCAGTGAGAAAAATAGGCTCTCATTTATTCATATACATACTTGAGGTCATGAGCTGGAACATGTCAATTGTATTAATGTCAGTTTGGACAGTTCTGTACTTACAGCTTGTAATAATATGGAAATTACTAGTCTGGACCTGTAAATTGAATTTTCAAGGAATGCAGATCTTAGTAAAAGTGAAACTTTTTTCATTTACTTCTGTAATTGAACTTACAGTGTGAAACAAATATAGGACCCTCATTACACGCAAAGTGAGATAAATCAAATCTTTATTTGTTATAAAGTTGAAAATTGGCTCAAAGTTTGTAAAAACAAACTTGTAAAACATACCAGAAAAGTAGAATACTTTTTGAAATGGACAATCGAAATGTGTGTCTAATGAATGTATGTCATATATTACTGTAGGTTCATATTTTAAGTTGAACTACAATTTTGAACAATATTATGTGGTCATACTTGCATGCAAAAGCCAGATCCCGTCTGACCTCTGGGAACACCAGGTGCACCACAGTGAGGCAGCTTCGGCTCACCCACATGGCCTGAAATGAGTCTGGTGTGTGCGTAAATGGCTGGTGATGGTTGGAGGGGCTGATGGAACATACTGGTTGCCTCGCTTCTGTCAGAGTGCCTTAGGGCAGCTGTGGCTACGGAAGTAAAATAAATATGGAGTGAAAGAATAATGACATATGAAACCAATGCATAATTATTATTATTATTATTACAACACTGAAATGTCTTCACTCTGGGACAAATATTGTTTACGTAATATCATAATATTTGGTCTCATATAATGGTTCTCCTATTCTTAAAGCTGGGATAACTGCCACACAAACTAAAATAAAATCTGTGTGTAACCACTTAGATCTCAAAACACATTTTTCAGACAGAAAACTGAAAATGAGAGGACCACCCTCACTCAGCCAAACAGCTTACAGCCCAAAAGGTCAAATACTGACTTGGTTCTCTTTCAGTAAACAAAAACTTAGCTTTAGCCTCGAAAAGTTTTCTTCTGGCTGTAAATAAAGTTAACTGAAATTTGATTCTAGTGGATATATTATGTGCTCTGTGAAACAGAGAGGCCGCATTATAGCAAGGGACCACCGTATACTAATTTGGAGACATGGACGTTTTCAAAATTATATACCTGTACTTTAACAATATAACAAGCAGCTTTCCAGAACTGCACTTTTTGTCTCATTCCTGGTGAGGTCAAGACAGTAAAAAAGTATTGACATTTTGATGAATCATAGCCCATATGTTGAACCACACTGATTGTAGGTTATTTGAATGTAGCTTAGGGCATAATATTTCGCTCACTTTTTCAGTTTTGCTGTTTTACGAGGAGCTAGGGCCTGGAGGGGACCGTGAACTTTTAGGGGAATGTCTCTAATTGTTGAGATTTGCTTTGAGTGTTCAAATGAACCAGTGCCAAATCCTTCTGACATTTATCAACACACTGTGCTCTGAGCTCTGTTCGAACAAGCTCAGTGTGATTTTGACTCTTGTTCTTAATGTGTTTTATTCACATTTTCCTTTCTGTGCTTATCACGTCTCTCATTGATTTTGCATGTGCTTGTCTTCTCTTTGCTTTTACAGGTGCAGTGAAACATATTAAAGCTTGGGTCCCTGATTGTCAAACTACAAAAGTATAAACTAAAGTCATCTAATTACAGTAGCTCTCAAAATAGATTGGAATCTATAGTTGTCATGTAACTCAGATAGAGATTTCAGAATCTAAAGGTTGAGTGTGGATTTGGTCCTAAAGGGGAGGAGAACATGTTTGAAGAGGTAAGCAAAACCTGAGCACCTGGAGGAAACCTATGCAGACATGGGGAGAACATGCAAATACAGAAACCGTGTGGTAGTAGTCCGTTAGTACTGCCACTAAGGATTATTTTGATACTGGAATGCAGTCCATGACACATGTGGTTTCACGCAAACACAGAGTGGCGAGTGTACACGTGGATGTGGATATAGAACTGTGAGATAGCTCTTTGTTCAGCGACAGTTTCAGTAATAAAATTAAGGGAACACAAATGAAAACGTGCGCGGTGGTAACAGAGGCTGTCCATGGACTGTTTTATTCAGACACAAAACTACAGTGAGTTAAGTTTTGGGACAAATGACAAATGCTCAATGCTCTGAATTCCGAATTGGTTGATGTTTACAGTCAATGACTTTATTAGTGCATTTTATTTTCCACATATATGAGGTATTATGAAGCGCATAGCTGTGCATGCATCTTCTCGTGCAAAGTACATTCCGTATTCGCCCGGATAATTGTCTATTTCAGTTTAACATGTTTTTGTCATCCGTGCTACTTTTTCACATGTGTCAGTGTTGCAGCGCAGCATCAAGGTTCCGTCTCCATATAAACTGATGTAACAACTTATAGGACAAAATGTGCAAATGAGAATTGTTAGTCGAGTCACGGAACTCTTGGAGGGCTGAAATCGGGCTAAAAATCCTGGAGTCTGTTGCCAGCCAAAGTTTGAGCTGGAGGGAAAATTCCTGTTTTAGTCTACTTGGCCAAAAGCCACCGTTGTGGTGTGTCCCAGACAAGAAAAAGTGGCCAGATTCAAAAGATTGTGTTGATAGGGATTAGATTATGTTTGGATCAAAGCCACCAATGTATTAACAGCAGATCACTGTCTTTGATTGTTGCCCCAGAGGAGACTGGAGACCCGGAGGGACCAGTGACTTCAGGCCTTCATCATGGTCCTCATCCTCCTCCTCATGAGTAAGTTATGACTGTGGTGTAATCTGTAAATGTACGCAGATCTGCTTGATTACGGAAAATGTATTTAAAGGAAACATATTGCTAATTCTACATTTTTGACCATTTAACCATGTTACTACGTTGTTCCTCATAAAAAAACATACCTGGTGTTGGTTTTAGACCCATCCACACTAATATCAGCAACTGAAAAAAACGTATGACTCCACTCCTTCTGCCTAGAAGATCGTAAAAGTCTCAGTCCTGTAATAGTATGATGCAATTTTATCACCAAAACATCACATTTAGAGCTGTTTTCTGCCTTTTAAAAAATAAATATTGCTGATGATATTGTGGCTATAAAATTAATTCAGTTCATAAAAATATTTTGCCGGTTCCAGTAGGTGCACTTCTATTTTGGCAACTTAAAAATACACAAGAAAACTTTCATTTTCTCTGTCACACGGGGCACGCCTACTGCCCATGGTCTTGCAATAAGTTCTTTCCATTATAAATTTGTTCTTGTTAAAATATGTTTGAACATGTTGATATGTGCCCAGGTAGATAAGCGCACTGTGCATTGATGACCTGTCAACCCTGCATTTGAACACTTGTCCAAAAACACTGGTCTGTTAGGGTAGATGAGAGGACCTCAAAGCAGACGGCAAAAGGGCAGTAAAAATATTTATTAACAAAAAGTGCAGCAGGCTTGGCTGAAGGGAAACAGGGCAAGGCTTGGTCCAGTGGGGGGCTTCGAGCAGGCAGTGGAACTAGGAACACAAAAATCAAAAATGAGAAAATAAGTCACAAAGCAAAAACCCTCATAGGCAAGGAAAAACGGTCTAGTCACCACGGTGGAAGACGGAACAATCTGACGATGAGTGGAGATCAGCTTGGAGACTTTGTACTGTGGTGATGAGGGAACTGAAGACAGCTGTGCCTGCTCGAAGACCACACCCAACAGGAGCCATGCCTGAAACAAAACAAAACCACACGGGGGAGGCAAACCACAACAGGACCCCCCTCTCAACGGACGCCTCCTGGCGGCCTTCCAGGCTTGTCCGGGAACTGGCGGTAGAAGTCCCGGATCAGACCACGATCCAAGATAAGGTGACGGGAAATCCAGGACCGCTCCTCTGGGCCATAGCCCTCCCAGTCTACCAGAAACTGGAAACCACGTCCCCGGCGGCGAACATCCAAAATACGGCTAACTGTGAATGCAGGGTGATCATCAATAAGACGGGGGGGAGGAGGGGGACAGGAAGGAGGGCAAAGTGGACTCGACACAACAGGCTTGAGCAGAGAAACGTGGAAAACTGGATGCACTCTGAGGGAGTTAGGCAACTTTAACTTGACCGAAACTGGGTTCACAATACTCTCAATTTCATAGGGTCCAACAAACCTGGGTGCCAGTTTTCTGCTCTCTACCTGAAGGGGAAGATCGCGTGATGAAAGCCACACTTTTTGTCCTGGCTGGTAATCCGGCGCAGCAGAGCGACGGCGGTTGGCACTCTGTTGATTGCGAGCGGACGATTGGATAAGGGCCGACCTAACAGTCCTCCAAACAGCACGACACCGGCGGAGATGAGCCTGAACTGAGGGGACAGACACTTCCTGTTCCTGTGACGGAAACAGAGGAGGCTGGAAACCCAGCGACACCATGAAAGGGGAGAGACCAGTGGCAGAACTTGACATCGAATTGTGGGCATATTCAACCCACGGAAGAAAAGTGGACCAAGCAGTTGGATTCCGTGCTGCCACACAGCGAAGAGCCGCCTCCAGGCTCTGATTTGCCCTCTCTGCCTGACCATTTGACTGCGGGTGGAAACCAGAAGAGAGGCTGGCCGATGCACCAATGGCTGTACAAAAAGCTTTCCAAACCTGCGACGAAAATTGGGGCCCACGGTCCGACACAATGTCTAAAGGAATTCCATGTAAACGAAAAACATGAAGGACTAACAGGTCAGCTGTCTCCAAGGCAGAAGGAAGCTTGGGTAGGGGAACAAAGTGGACTGCTTTGGAGAACCGGTCCACAATAGTGAGGATGACAGAGTTACCTTGTGATGGGGGCAATCCAGTGACAAAGTCAACAGCGATATGCGACCAGGGGCGCGAAGGCACAGGAAGGGGATGCAGTAAACCAGCAGGGGGCAAGTGTGAAGGCTTACTACGAGCACAGACATCACAGGCAGACACAAACTCACGAACATCAGGAGCCATAGTGGGCCACCAGAACTTTTGTTTTATGAAGTTCAAAGTGCGATGGATACCTGGGTGGCAACTTAGCCTAGATGAATGACCCCATTGAAGAACTTGGGAGCGGACTGCCATAGGAACAAAAAGACTGTTTTGAGGGCCATCGCCAGGGTCCGGCTCTGTACGTTGTGCCTCAAGGACGACATTTTCAATCTCCCAGTGGGCCGCAGCTACAACACAGGAAGGTGGCAAGATGGTGCCTGGAACAGAGTCAACATTATCAAGGGAGTACAAGCGAGACAATGCATCAGGCTTTGCATTTTTGGACCCTGGACGGTAAGTTAAGGAGAAATTAAACCGGCTCAGGAAAAGGGCCCATCTAGCTTGACGGGAATTCAGTCGGCGTGCAGTCTGGAGGTAAGAGAGGTTCTTGTGGTCAGTCCAAATTATAAACGTGTGGTGTGTTCCCTCCAACCAGTGTCTCCATTCCTGAAGCGCTGAGACGACTGCCAACAATTCTCGATTACCAATGTCATAGTTGCCCTCTGCCTTAGTAAGACGCCTCGAGAAAAATGCACAAGGGTGAAGTTTGTTGGTTTCTGGGGATCGCTGTGACAGAATAGCCCCCACCCCTAGGTCTGATGCATCTACCTCCACTGTAAACTGCCTTGTAGGGTCAGGATGGGTAAGAACAGGTGCAGTGGTGAACTTTTTCTTTAGCCAATCAAAAGCAATTTGAGCTTCAGGGGTCCAGACAAAGGGGGACGATGTAGAGGTGAGGCGTGTAAGGGGAGCTGCAACTCTGCTGTAGTCTCTAATGAAACGTCTAAAAATTGGCAAAACCCAAAAATCTTTGCAGCAGTTTACGGGATGTGGGTGTAGGCCAATCAACAACAGCCTGGATCTTGGCTGGGTCTGCTGACAGTCTTCCTTCTTCAATAAAAAACCCGAGGAAACTAACCTTAGGTTTGTGAAATTCACATTTCTCAGCCTTGACGTAGAGTTTGTTTTCCAATAGTCTCTTTAGCACTAGCCGAACATGCTGGACATGCTCTTGGATGTCTTTGGAGAAAATCAAAATGTCGTCCAGGTAAACAAAAATAAACTTGTTGAGCATGTCACGCAAAACATCATTTATGAGTGACTGGAAGACTGCTGGTGCGTTTGTGAGCCCAAAAGGCATTACCTGATATTCAAAGTGACCCAGTGGAGTATTGAATGCAGTCTTCCACTCATCTCCACTTCTGATTCGCACAAGATGGTAGGCATTGCGAAGGTCCAGCTTAGAGAAAACCGTAGCCCTGTGCAGAGGCTCAAAGGCAGAATCAATTAGTAGGAGTGGATACTTGTTTTTTACTGTGATAGCATTGAGACCACGGTAATCAATACATGGCCGCAAAGTCTTATCCTTCTTGTCTACAAAGAAAAACCCGGCTGCAACAGGGGAGGAGGAGGGCCGGATGTGACCGGACGCCAGTGAATCATGAATGTACTTCTCCATGGCTTCTCTTTCAGGACCTGAGAGATTGTACAAACGGCTAGACGGTAAAGGTGCCCCTGGGAAAAGGTCAATAGCACAGTCATATGGCCTATGTGGAGGAAGAGAGAGGGCTCGATCCTTGCTGAAAACTTCGGCCAAATCATGATACTCAGGGGGCACATCTGAGAGATCAGTTAGTGCAGGTTGAGTGGTAGTAGGGACATGGGCAGGTGGGTTGGCGGAACGGAGACAATTAAGGCGCGTTCAGACCAAAAGCTTCAAAAAGCTTTTGACGCGCTTCAACTGACGCCGGGATAGTTTTGTCATTTTGGTGCTTGAAGCTTTTGACGCGAGTGACGCGCCTGACGCCGGTGGGAGGAGCTTCTCTGTTGCCTGTAGTCAGGACAGCGGTGGATTTTTCAATGAGCAGCGAGCCTTTATTTGTTATATAAAGCAAAATAACGTTGTTGTAGGGCTTCAACAAAACATGTTCTGGGTTCACCACAGACTTGAGAGGCTGCAGTGTTTGCAGAGTTCCGTCATTTACTCCAGGAGCTGCGTACGGAGGAGTTTCGCTTTCAGCGGTACTTCCGCATGTCACTTGCCCAGTCTGAGTTCTCAAACCCCGGAGCTCGCCTCTCCCTGCCTCTCCCCGGCTCTCGCTCGCCACTCCCTGCCTCTCCGCGGCTCTCGCTCGCCTCTCCCCGGCTCTCGTTCGCCTCTCCCTGCCTCTCCCCGGCTCTGGCTCGCCTCTCCCTGCCTCTCCCCGGCTCTCGCCCGCCCGGAGCTGCCTTGCTCTGAGCCAGACCCATCGTCAGCCTGTTCTTATATTAAATAAACTACGTTTACTACACAGCATGTGTACAATGATTTTTGTTACTCAGAATTTTACTACTCATACAAATAATATTACTAATAACAATAAAACAGCAGCAGCAGATACATGACTTCTCTTCATGACCATGACAGAGACAGACCCTCTGCTGCTGCTGCTCCTCGTCTCCTGATTGGTTGAAGCCCGCGTCAAAGCTTCAAAAGCTCAGCTTTGCTCAGCTTCGGCGTCAGAGGGATTGTTGTGATACGCGAGCGTTTCGCGCGTCAAAAGCTTCAAGTGAGCGCGTAGTACGCGCGACTCTTGAAGCTTTTGACGCGCGTCAAGTGACGCCGGGGCTCTCGGCTTCACCTGACGCGCTTCACCATTCACTTTCAATGCAAACCTGACGCTTTTGACGCCGAAGTTAAGTCCGGTGTGAACGCCCCTTTAGAGTGGCAGAAAAGGCTCCATGTAGTTGATCTGGATGGCCAATCAAACTGGGGATTATGCAGTGACAGCCAAGGAATACCAAGGACAATAGGAGCGAGTGGTGAGGGAAGGACATAGAGTCTAATAGTCTCTTTGTGGTTACCAGAGAGGACTAGAGTGACAGGAACAGTTCAATGAGTAACATTGGCAATAAGACGCCCATCCACTGCCTTAATGGATTTAGGTCTTTCAACAAGTTCAGTGGGGATCCCGTTTTGTCTTACAAAATCCGAGTCAATAAAGTTATCATCAGCTCCTGAATCAACTAATGAAAAAGCAGGAAATGACTCACCATTGTGTTGGAGAGAGGTCTGCAACTGGATGCGTTGGGGGAATTGGCTGGAGTGCTGGCTCATCAGTACCCCCTTACTTACTGATGAGCCTGATCTTTTGGCAGCATATTGCACTGGCTCTGAAAGTGATTTGATGCCCCACAATAAAAGCAGAGACGGGACTGCAGGCGGCGCTGTCGTTCCACTTGGTCGAGGCGGAGACGTCCCAGCTGCATTGGTTCCTCGCTGGAGGAAGGTGGAAGCTCCTTTGGTAGAGGCACTGGAACAGACTGGGAGGGGACATAATACATAGGCCGAGAACTTGACATCACTTTTTCCCTGCGCCTTTCCCTCAGGCGGTTGTCCAGACGTACTGCTAATGAAATTAGAGTTTCCAAATCTGGGCATTCGTCACGAGAAGCAAGTTCATCCTTCATACTTTCATTGAGGCCATGAAAAAATGCTCCCTGCAGAGCGTTCATGTCCCACCCACTTTCAGCTGCTGCAATTCTAAAGTTCAAAGAATACTGGGCCACAGATGAACTGCCCTGCTTTAGAGAAAAAAGTCGTTGGCCTGCCTCCTTACTCTGGATAGGATGGTCAAAAATATGTCGCATTTCTTTACAAAAACCCAAATAAGAGTGGCAAAAATCTGCATTGCCCTTCCATGCAGCAGTAGCCCACTCAGAAGCCTTCCCTGAGAGTAACCCCACCATATATGCAATGCGGGATCTATCAGTAGCGTATGTCTGGGGCTGCTGTTCAAAAACCAGGTCACATTTTAACAAAAAACTCCCACATGATCCAAGCTCACCAGAAAAAGGTTGAGGTGTAGGAATAAATGGCTCACGTGCATTAGAAGAGGGCATTGGTGGTTGAGTAGGATCCATAGGAAGAGAAGAGGAGCCAGGCTGAGCAGGAGCAGGTGCAGTAAGTTGGTGTGTGATTAGGTGCTGGAGCTGGCTTCCAAGTTCACCAACATGAGAGGAGAGTTTCCGTAACGCGTCCATAACCTCCTTCATTTCTTGGTCATGGCGTCCAAGAGTTTGTCCTTGAGCAGACAGGGCCTTAACAATGGTATCTTGGTCTGCGGGGTCTATGCTGGTCAGATTGTTCTGTTAGGGTAGATGAGAGGACCTCAAAGCAGACGGCAAAAGGGCAGTAAAAATATTTATTAACAAAAAGTGCAGCAGGCTTGGCTGAAGGGAAACAGGGCAAGGCTTGGTCCAGTGGGGGGCTTCGAGCAGGCAATGGAACTAGGAACACAAAAATCAAAAATGAGAAAATAAGTCACAAAGCAAAAACCCTCATAGGCAAGGAAAAACGGTCTAGTCACCACGGTGGAAGACGGAACAATCTGACGATGAGTGGAGATCAGCTTGGAGACTTTGTACTGTGGTGATGAGGGAACTGAAGACAGCTGTGCCTGCTCGAAGACCACACCCAACAGGAGCCATGCGTGAAACAAAACAAAACCACACGGGGGAGGCAAACCACAACATGGTCTACAGTGTAAAAATAGGTAAAAATAGCTAAAGGCTTAAGTTATTTTGTTTAAACTGCTTGGATGAGTGGTGAAAACATGTTAATTGCATGTAATCTAATAACAGCATTCAGCCTGGTATTGCAACTGGCTCTTCATGACTTGACACTTTTTATACTGGAAGTATGGAAAATATCTATTATTAGTTAATGTTTAATGATTCCATTATAAATTTGTTCTTGTTAAAATATGTTTGAACATGTTGATATGGGCCCACGTAGATAAGCGCACTGTGCATTGATGACCTGTCAACCATGCATTTGAACACAAAAAAGACACTGGTCTACAGGTTCAAGGTATACTTAAGTTATTTTGTTTAAACTGCTTGGATGAGTGGTGAAAACATGTTATCTAATTGCATGTAATCTAATAACAGACACTTTTTATACTGGAAGTACGAGGAAAAAATCTATTATTAGTTAATGTTTAATGATTCAACAGTAGCTCAGTTGGTAGAGCATTGGCACCTCTGCACCTTCTCCATCAACTCCCACTGATGACTGCTGTCGTTGTGTCCTTGGGCAAGACACTTAACCCCACTTTGCCCAAAGCCCCCACTGAAAGATCAAGGCTATGCTCACACTCAGAGAGCAGCCGTCCTCCTGTGGACTCACCACCTGCAGAGGGTCAGTGAGGGGCTGGTGCTATGAGACTTGGGTGGCATCTCTGACTGCCACCCCCCTGACCCAGAAATGGATTAAAGGGTAGAAAATGGATGGATGGATGGGTTTAGTGATTCAAATTTTAAAAAGGCGAGTAAAAACTTTTTAAAAGGTTCAATGAGCGCTCAATCATCAAAAGTTAAGTATGGCTATAGCTCTACTAGAAAACTTTCCAGATCTGACCATGGAAACATAGCAGTTTTATTACTAAAATCAATTGACATCTGATAAATGTATTATGTACTATGCACTTGTCCCAATAAAACAAAACAGCCTTCATAATTCAATGTGGACTTTGAATAAGACAGCGGATACACTACTCTAAATTTTACGAGTAAGAGTAAGAGTTTTAATTTAAGTTTTATTTAACCTGTTCTCAAACTCTGCTTTAACAGGTTTTTGTTATCCATGCTACAGTTTCACATGTGCCAATGTCGCAGCTCAGACTTGCAAACTACATGCCTTTTCAAAATAAATATCAAGGATTTACAACCACAAATGTTACCTTATATCAAAAGATGATTGTGTCTTTTCCCATCATTTGGAAATGAAATCCATTATGTACAAGCAAAAAATTTATTTGTATATGTATTGTGTTGCAATTGCAATAATTAAAATGCAACTTAATTTGAACAAAACAGAGTGTAATCTCTGGGACACAGGAAGCTCAAAATGCAAACAAAAAAGTGAACTTTGAAGTCATAACTTGGGTCACATTAAATTCCATTTTGTTGGATCCTGAGTTCTCTTTGATACAGTGAAACCAGTATATTTTTGCAATCTTACAATCTCCCAGTGTTATTGGGTTGTTGTTAAAGTGATTGTCTGGAGTTTGTCAGAAAGAGAGACAGAGAGGTACTTGATTTGAGAAAAACGACCCAAGCTCCCTCCCCCTTCCTTTCTGATTGGTCTACGCCTACGTTTCTGCAACACTTTTAAATGTTAATCTGAGAACACATTATACATATACATTATTAATACACATGCACGGAGGTTTTCAGAATTATTTCTTGACGTTTTAATGAAAAAAAATAATGTTTTTATGCACAAAAAAAGCGATCGCGGCAAACCCGTAAGTGCTATTATCATGAATTGAACATTATAGGACACATCTGCAGAGGATCTGATTATGGATATAGGTTCAGTATATACATAAGTACCTCAGCGTAGATGTTCAGAATTCTTGGTTCAGTTTTCATGTAGTTCCAGAGCCTAATGGAGGCTTGATTCGGAGGCTCCACGAAAACAAACAATTGAGCATGTGCGCAGCTACGAGCATCAGCGCCGATGATTGACAGCCCTTGGCATGACTCGATTGGTTAACGTGGACGGCATTGTGGATTCTGAGCTATAGCTAAGAGAAGGGAAGGCGGGACTTACCTGTAAAATTATAATGAATAAAATGAATTATTTTATATCAACATTTAAGGCCAGGAGGTCAATTTAACACATTTCCTAAAATTTGTAATTCATTTAGAGTTACAGATTATCACTTTAATTCTTGTTGTTGTCTTTTGCAGCAAGTCTGTTTAGGCCAGTCCGCCTCCAGGCCTCAGAGGAGGGGTGCCTCAGCGGCTTGTGTAACCCCCAGATCGGAGACCTAATGATGGGTCGGGCCGCTCAACTCTCGGCCTCCTCCACTTGCGGACTGGATGGCCCTCAGAACTACTGCATCATTGGATATCTGGAGGTGAGACAGTTACAGTAAATGCTTTTGTATGTACTTAAAGGTTCCATGTTCTGTTCTTCTACATGTTTCAAAGTCCATCCTAAGCACATGTGTGAAAACAGTTAGGATGATACAACACTCAAAACCTGTGAAATTATAGCGATTTCTTGGTTAGAGGGGATGTCATCTCAATTGATACGGGTGGTTCACCCCTCCCACCCATGCGACTACGTGGCCCAGACCACAGCCCGCCTCCTCTCCTCTTCTCTGTGACGTAGCCTGAGCTCATGCTAACATGATACATAGCTGTACTGTCAGACCTGCGAATAAACTTTTTCCAACAATGGCAATCCGTCATGTAGAGCCCTATGTCCTCGTTCCAGAATCGGATCCTAATTATTTCGTTTACAGCGTTATTCGGCGAGTTAGTGGCAATGTACTTACATCTAGGCTCCTTGTTAGCGTCTTTTATTGTGTGAATAACACCAGGTTTCAAGATCAGCTTTTGAGTAAGTCAAGTTTCATTGTAGGTAGTTCTGGAAGCAGCTGTGATGTGATGTCATCAAATTGAACTGAGGCGTTGTACTCCCTCTCCAGTATGACAGAGAAAGATCACTCTCTAACTAAAGCTTGAAGAAATCAATGAAAAAAGGATAGGGCCAAGGTCAAATAGCACTAAAATGATGCTTAAAGCATACAAAGGCATAACATGGGACCGTTAAAGTGGGGTTCCTATCTTTCGAATCACTAACATGTAACAAAATCCTAGTGTAAAACAATTTGGTTCAAGTGCGAGTTATCACATGCATCTATTTTCGGACTTTGTCATATCTTTGGATCATAATTTGAGTCTATTGAGTCACAAATAGTGAGTCACAAATAGTGACTCAATAGTGGCTCTTTCTTACAAGGTTGCAAATGACAATTGTTAATGCCCCAACAGTAGCTGAGTTGGCAGAGCCTTTGGGCCTGAAGGTTGTGGGTTCGAGCCTACTGCAAGACCTCTCCACCAACTCTGTCTTCTGTTGTTGTGTCCTTGGGGAAGACACTTTACCCCACTATGCCCATAAGGAGCATGGAAGTAATTGTACGTTGCATGCCTTGATGTGTGTATGTGTATTCATTGAAACTGAAATGTCCCCACTGTGGAGAGAATAAAGCATTATCTTCTCATTAATATTATTCTTAAGATGACAAAGTTGTGGTCTGATATGTTTATATCAGACTAACACATCTGTTGGGACAAAACATATTTTATTTAAGAAAAAAAAGTTGCATTTGAAACATCATAAACAACGTTATACTGCTGTAGAATTGGTTCATTGAAGGACAATAAACAAAACATGTCAAACTGAAGCTGAATGCTCTGAACTTAGAAGCATGGCTAACCTCAATTCATTAATTTGCTGTGGAATTGCTGTATATACAAATAAACATATTGATATAATTACTACCCACCACTTAAATCTTGATGTGTCGCCTTATGCAAAATTGCTCTTTTTAAAATCTAAGGAGTAGAAAGTACAAATATTTTGGTTTTAAAAGTAAAAAAAAAAAGTACTGATACAGATTATTTTTTATTATATTATGTTTTATGATTTTCATGTTTTTATTATACCTTTTATGTTTTGTTTTGCCAGTCTTTTTACACAATGCTATACATATTTTTGGACTATTCAATTCGTTTGTTGATAAATGTCCATAAATGTTTCCTGGATCATCAAGAGTCCTTCTTGGACTACGTATGCAATCTGTGTGTTCTCCCCAACCATCACAAAAAGCACATTTACTTGCAATCCTGTATGAAATGCATTCATTTATTTATTTGAATAGGACAGTTCATGTCAATGACAACAGACATTAGAAACATTAATGTAAACAGGCCAGATTATAGCAAAAGGCTCATTTCCATCTGTAGTCTCATAGGGTTAGGGTCACAAGGGTTAAAATCAACAACAACAAAAAAACAATTGAAAATAAACAGAGCTTGCATGCCCGCAGATACAGGCATACAACTATGCCTGTATCCATTGACGAGTCCTGCTGCCAGATAGGGGATTTTGGTGTTTACCTTGCCTGGTTTTAGCCTTTTGTGCCTCTGAGTGAAGGGTTTCTGGCCCAGTGCACAGTTTTCATACTGAAACAAGTTCTGATCTGTCATTTATGTTTTCTATACCCCGAGGAATCATCCCATTTTTTTCTCTTCTCATCTTTTCCCCTTTTGGCACTGCAAATTTCGGTCATTAAAAGTTTCCATTAATTTTTTGCAGGTTATGTCATTGTATCATTGTAACCAGGGATAGACAAAAATGAATGATTGGTGGATAAATACATTAGTTGAGTATCAAGTAGAGTCAATCTAATCCATTTTAAAAAGCATAGAAATAGTCAGATTCTAATTCTGAAAACACTCTGCTGGCTCTTGGAAATCAAGTACTGGTTCCACAAGCTGGTAGCAAGATGATTTACTCAAAAGGAAGCTTTCATATTGTAGAAATCTTTTTCCGTTTCTAATAGAACTCTATGGGAAAGACGTAATTATATTTATTTATATATATGTGAATCTTTTCACCACTTCTAGACACGAGAACATAATTAGACCATGTTAGTGCAGATACAGAATATATGAAAATTACCTGCAAAGGTTTTTCAGCTGTCCTCTGCCAAAAAGTGAAACTCTATGCTTTTGGAATGTTGTGAAGTCACATGAATGCTATCTTTCTCCAAAAATAACGGATTAAAGGATTGCTCAATTATGGAAAAAGACGTACTCCGGATTGCAGGACATTACATTGCTTATTTTATGGTTTTTCCACTTCATCTCAGTCACAACTAAACATACTAAATTAATTATAATTACGTACATAAATCAACTCTTTTAAACAGAAGCCATGTATCTAAAATGGGGCATTGAGACACACTCCCCTTCTCTTGTCCGTGCACATCTTTGGACAATGAACATTGCTAATAGTCGGTTGCAAATGAAAGCTATATTTTTACTTAATAGTTTCCATATTTCTATCGTCAGGAGGAAAAGAAATGCTTCTCTTGTGACTCCACTCGGCCGTTTGATGCCCAGTCCAACCCAAACAGTCACCGGATCGAAAACGTCATCACCACCTTCGAGCCTGAACGCAAGATGAAGTGGTGGCAATCAGAAAATGGTGAATGTTCATTCAATTTATTTTAATGCTTATATCTATCTTATTTAATACAAAACTCAACATGTTTTGCTTGCTTTAAATATAGTTATAATACATGTAGCATTACTGCTTTTTCTCCCATTGAGAAAAATCACGGACCATGAAATTTTACCAAAAAAACCAGGGCGCCTCTTCCTTGCACTGAGTGACATGGGCTGGTGTGTCTAAAGGACTTGCCACTTCACCGGCCTTGCACCCTACTCTTTTTATGAACACTCAATTCAAATATAGCAGTAATTCATACAGAAATATAACCAATTAAACCTGTTGCTTATGTAGCGTGAGCGGTGGGTGAATTATAAAGTGGAAAATGTAGAACCAGCAACGCAACCCAGGTCTAGTTCCTGGGAAAACACAATCGACTAAAAAAAGCACACAGGTAAAGCCTGGTTCACACAAGACGATTTTAAAATTGTCGACCGATTTTTTTCTCCGTGTGAGACCCCACACACGGAGATAAAAAATCACGGGTCTAACCACTTTGGTCGTACAGTGTGTGGTGCGCAGCCACACGGCAGAATCACGCAAACCACACACGAACCGATTTCACCCCCGAGCATTCACAGGTCACCGGAAATCTCACAACATCGCTCGAGATCAAGCGTGACTTCAGAGTAAACAGAGTGTGCGGGCCTCTCCGCTTCACGCAGCCTATAGAGACTCTCGTCTGACCACAGCAGCCACAGACACCATGAGGACAAACACATATATGTGGATTTTACTGCTCTACAGTTCTCTGGCCCGTGCTGTCTGTGCTGTTCAATAATACAGTTTGTACGGACTACCTGTGAACGCATCACACACACTGCTAGACATGAAACTTTACATACGCGCAAACCAACAAGCATGGCTGCAGTAACGGCTGCATCACCACGTCTGTACTGTATTAGGACAGAGTGCAAAGTAAACGTACAAACACAACCATCAGTCTGATCATTTAGTGTACTAATCCCGTCCGAACAGGGCTGATGCCAACACTACCTGTGCAGCAGGTCCTTGTCATTTCGGTGATGATATGAGTAGATATAATTGACGGTGCTATTGAGCAAGTGGTGAAAAGGTGGTACTGCACCCTGAACTCCCCAGAATAGGGACGGTGCTATTGAGCAAGTGGTGAAAAGGTGGTACTGCACCCTGAACTCCCCAGAATAGGGACGGCGCTATTGAGCAAGTGGTGAAAAGGTGGTACTGCACCCTGAACTCCCCAGAATAGGGACGGCGCTATTGAGCAAGTGGTGAAAAGTGTTACAGCACTGTATTTTTCAAAGAGGTGTCATTTTGAATGTGTAATGAGTTAGCCTCTGTTGACCCAGAGTGTGTGTGTGTGATAAAGTAAATGTTTCACAGTTGTCTAAAGTGGTTTATTGAGCAGCGCTTAGCGTAACACCTGCGTAGGGTTACACCGTGCTTATTCTAAAACAAACAGTGATGCCCCAGTTAGTAAGACACGTCAATAACTAATTAATCTACAGGGAGGACCTGCCCCAGACCTGTCAACCTATAGCAAACATAACGAAGGGTTGGGAGGATGAAGGGGTGGTAGGATGGACCTGCCCCAGCCTATCAAGGTAGAACAAACAGTGTAAGCGAATCATGATGGAGGGGTTGGGAGGGTGTACTAACAGCGAATCATGATGAAGGGGTTGGAGGGAGGATGGACCTATTACGTCCAACCAGGGTGATACATGTAGTACCATGTGGTGAAAAGGTGGTATGGCGCCCTATTTTCCAATAGGTAACACTTGAGTGAAGCAGATCCCTTTCTCAAACTATGGGTCTCCCTGAGGTTTCGCACTTTTTTTCATATGAGTTTTTCCTTGCTGATGCAGGATGGGTTTGTTGCACAGTTAGTGAGAAACTAGAAGGACTGTGGTGATGATCCAGGACACTTTAATATTCTACAACATGTACGGGCATGTGGTCTATATTCTTTATGTGTTTTAACTGTTGATTCTCCGATCTGTGTTGGTGATTTTCAGTAGTTTTTTTGGTAAGTCCTCTGAGATGACTCCAGTTGTGATTTAGGGCTATACAAGAATAAATTGTATTGTATTGTATAGGTGTTTTATTTTTTTATTTTTCTGCAACAAGTGGTACTGCACCCGAACTCTGAAAGAGCGACACTTAGGTGTGTGTGTGATAACCTTATCATGTGGTCCTGAGTGTTGCACTAAAACAATAGGAGGATAGTTGTTATTTTTCACGGAGATGGGCACAGGGTTCCAACTGGTACAGCAGTATGAACGATCCGTCTGAAACTCACCTGATGACAAAGGTTCCGTGGAGCAAAAACACATATATTTTTGTGGCGTTTATCAATCGTAATTAATGCGTTATAATCCTAACCCTATTCATAAGGTAGCAGTCTCTATATCAATTTAATTGTCCAATACAATAAAAATAAGAACCCTAGATACATATATGTACACAGTTTGAAACAGAGTAGGTAGATGTGAAACTAGGGTCCTTGGTACAGGTTTTCTTTTTACTGGAGATCAAATGATTTAAAGGCGTACATCTCTCAGATATACAATTGACACTCGTTACCATAAATAGTCATCTTAAAGACTGATTAAACATCCATATTACATACCTTAAACATTATGTACAACATTTTACCAAAACACAAACCATTAATTAAACATTATGTACAACATTTTACCGAAACACAAACCATTAATTAAACATCATGTACAACATTTTACCAAAACACAAACCATTAATTAAACATTATGTACAACATTTTACCAAAACAAAAACCATTAATTAAAATCCAGATTTTCTTATTATGTAACACTCTCATATTTATTGAGTATAGTAGTTTTGTTGTTTCTTAAAAACCATGATTTTTTATTTTGACTCTTTAATGTCTTTATTAAGTTCCACAAGTTGATTCCTTTCCACTGAGACCATTCTTCCCATGAATGTAGTTCTGAATCTAGGTTTTATTAAAGATGTCAGTTACTTACAGATTGTATCGACATTGTCTTTTTTTTTTCCAAAGTTCTCTTAGAGGTTTGCTGCTAATGTTTTGCAATTTACCTTATACAATGTATGATAAATAGTATAATCCACTATAACATACAATTTTAACACCAAGCACTCAAAAACAGGATTTGATGAATCCCGATATATTTTCCTTCTGGTCTTTTTTATGTAAAATAACTATAGGCTGTGTATGTGTTTTAAACGTTGTCTCCAAATGTTGACAACATAGGTGAGGTCGGTATAATCATTGTATTATCTAAGGTCAGTAATGCTGAGTGGCTTGGAAAGTGTAAAACACCAAGTGATTTGGCTAATTTTCCTTATGTACAGTGTCTGTGAGATTTCCAGCTAAGATCCTCAACGATGATGACTCCCAAAAATGTTGTTTCTTTTTACCCTTTTGAATTTCCCCCGTCTAGTCTTATCGATACACTATTTAAGATTTTTTTCTTTTTTAGCATTGAATAGTATGTATTCGTTTTTTCTTTGTTTAGAGCAAAGTCATTTGAACCAACCAGATTTTTATTATGACAAGTTCTTTGTTTATTACTTTTTGATAACTCTCCAACATTTTTTCCACAACAAAATAATGCTGTGGCACCAGCAAATAAGATTATTTGTAATATAGGTGTCATGTTTACAAGTTTAAAGACATAATTCAATCATTTATAAGTTTAAAAATGCAACACGTTCTTAAATGCTATGTAATAAGTTACATTTAAAAACAAAGATTCCCTTTTACAATACAATACACAATACAATACAATACAATTTATTCTTGTATAGCCCTAGGTCACAACAGAAGTCATCTCAGAGGACTTAACAAAACCATTGAAATCACCAACACAGGTCAGAGAATCAACAGTTAAAACACATGAAGAATACAGTATAAAGCACACACAGAAGAAAATGTCCATACATGTTGTAGAATGCTAAAGTGTCCTGATCATCACCAATCCTTTCTGTTGGACACTAACTGTCCAACAAGACCCTCCTGCATCGACAAGGAAAAACTCTTAAAAAACCCAGTGGGAAAAAGTGAGAAACCTTGGAGGAGAACTAGGGAAACCCACAGGGAGGGAGACCCATATGAGAAAGGGATCCGCTCCTCCGGACGGACAGACTAATGATCCAGGACCTAAGCTAGCTACAGGACGTGGACCAGTGGACGCTGAACGTGGACAGGTCCGGTGCAGGACTGAAGCACTCCCAGGCGGGTCGGGCGGGGCAGTCCGCAGGTGTAGATGGAAGAGGCCAGGCTCAGAGATCCCGTCATCGTACCATGAAACAGACAATGGGACAACGGGTGAATAGCAATGAACAAACTACAGTCAGAATCCTAAAAATGCTAAACAGATAAAGTAGGAAGGAGGAGAGGATAGTGCTCAAGTTACCATACTTCTCCCAGCAAACTGACTCCCTATGCAGCTTGACTAACACTCTGAGGAGTTTAACCTTCTCCGAGTCTTACCTTCCTAGCCATATGCTAAACTAAAGAGGACTGTTTTAAACCTAGCCTTGAATAAAGAATAACATACAGCATAATATATAACATAATATACAACATAACACAATACATTATTGAATAATATATAACATAATATATAACATAATACAGCATATATATATAATATATACACTACATATTATATATTACCTAATTATATGCTAAATTAAAGTAAAGTGCTTTAAGCCTGGCCTTGAATGTGGAGACCGTATCTGCTTCCTTAACATAAATGGGAAGCTGATTCCACAGTAAAGGAGCTTGGTAGCTAAATGCTCTGCCACCAACAGTGACCTTTGAGACCTTAGGGACCACCAGACGTCTGGCGTTTTGTGAGCGCAACGCTCGACTTGGTTGATACGACACTAACGTGTCTTGGAGATAAGAAGGAGCCAAGCCATTTATGGCTTTATATGTTAAGAGTAGGATTTTAAACTTTATTCTGTACTCCACAGGGAGCCAGTGGAGT